GGATCATGCTGAAAATGTAGGGCTCGTTCCCTGCACGGCTGAAGTGGAGAGATATTTGAAAGTATAATTACAGGCTCGTGCAGGCTCCTCCTACATGGTGCTGCTGTAATCACATTTGATGAAGATGACAGGTAAAAGATGAGAGGAGGAGAACGTAAAGACGTAAAGTAGGTCTTATTTTAATGAGCCTCTGTCTATCTTCTTCACACCGTAACCTGCATCATGAGTCGCAGAGGAGAGGAAAGATGGAGAGAGGGATGAACAGCAGTGAGAAAGCAGTCAGCAGTTTTTTTTAATCCAAGCAGCTCCTGGGCCCTCGCACGTTAGGAGTAATCAAAAGAAGAGCAGCAACGGAACGTCCACATCTGCTCTGTGAGCGCTTACATGAGATGTTGCTATCAGGTGGGAAAGGTGTAACTGAGGATAAAGGGTCAGGAGTTTCCCATCAATACAACCAATATGTGGAAAACCACAGACAGACAAGGCACAGCAGCTGACCATGAGACCATGAGAGATGTCAATCATTCAGGACATTCCTGATAATATTTAAACCGGCTCACAAAATGTCGTCTGATAACGTACAACTCTCGCTTGTGATTATTAGCCCAGGTTTGAACCTCGGCCCAGTCTGTTCTAACATGGGCTAAAGACCCATGCTATCTGTGTCAAATCATATTTTTTTATCTCAATTCTGGTGCAGAACGTCAGCCAACTCAGTCAGTTCTTATACACAGAAGCTATGTAGAAAATAAAAACAAAACAGTTTTTTGTTGATTGCATTAAACTTTTTTTGCATTAATCTGATGTTTATTGATTTTGCAGTCTTTCAATGTCCACCTATAGACATAACTCTATAGACTATAGGTCCGTGGGTGTTGAGGTGGACAGATTTGACATCAGTTAAAGTGTCTTTTATGTCACACTAATTCACTCACTACACTAAATAAGCCAAACTTTTGATTGTTTTGACTGTGGTTTTCAGACACATTTTCAATATAATAATAGAATAAATCTAATACGTAACTGACAGATGTCATTAGATGTTTGCTGTCAAACAAGTGGCCACTGTCTGTTTTCTACTGTCACCTTGTAACTAAATCACAGGGGGTTTACGACGTCTCCGACCTACGGTGTCTCGTAGTTACGGCGCCATCTTCCATAGATTTATTAAGAAAGTCATTTAACATTATTCCAATGAATGGCAGTCAAACAAATTTAACACAGGAAACAGTTGGCGAGTGGAGCTAACAAATCAGTTGTCCTACAATGCTATACGTGGAAGACATCTTTGTTTATAGTCACCAGTTGTACGCCGTCTATCGGATTGTGCTGCATTCGCTCTCTTTCATTGGTGTTGTTGTTTTTGGAACTTTTCATCCCTTCGTCATGGCTTCCACACAACAGTCAGACTCTTCTGATGTTTTTATGTCCTGGATTAGGACATAGATACCGATGGACAGTATGTGAGATCAGACTGAGTCAGGACCCACTGTATAGTTAATTTTGAATTCTCTAATGAAAGTCAGTATTTTCCAACAAGCACAGAATTCATTCTGGTCTCTGCTCTCCTCAAACCTGCCTTTTCTCCTCTTCTCTCTGTTTTTGTCACTTAAGTCTCGATATCTGTCTATTCACTTCCTCACACAGATAAGCGCACACATTGACACAGACACAGATCCCATAGACACACACACACACACACAGACCTACAATCTTTGCTCAGCAGTCATTCACCCGAGGTCATGCCTCACCTTTTAGACAGAGTCAATATTGCACACACTCACACCCAGTCACAGTTCAACAGAGACAGACACAACATACAAAATACTCATCACTTCCGCAGCTGCTCACAGTTGGTTTAATAAACGCAGATATGGTCTGTGTGTCATTCAGTTACAACAGTGCACACTGACACACCAGGACACAAGGATCACATGTCATGATTAAACATCATATCTCACACATCTCTTCCCTCAGAGCAGGTGTCGATGCTGCTTCTTAGAGCATTTTTGAGGTGTGATTCACAACATCTTGCTGTGAGAAAAAAAAGAAAAGAAATAGAAATTTCACCTCAATAATGTGCTCAAAAATCTCACTACTTCCAATCTGAACCCTTCAGTGTTTTCAGGGCTTTATATTTGGCCCTCATTGGACTTGACATCATTTGTTTTGTACGACATGAAACAACCATTCATACTGTACTGTACTATAACGTTGGACAGTCTCATATATAGGCTACACTCTCTGCCAGGCACAGCCAGCCCTTTGCTTGTAGCACATCCACAGTAGTGTTTGGATGATTAATGCCTTAGTCAGAGGTACCTCAGCAGATATAATGGCACCTCACACGTGTAGACAATCCCACCGTGGCTTCTTCATTCACCTGACGAGGAGCTCGAATCTCATAAAATTAGACTGGCAAATTGATTTCTGTGGCTCCCCTAAGCTGCAAGTAGGATTACTGCAGTAGGCACGCGTAGACACGCAGGATTTGTCACAGATACGACCGAGAACAAATAGAGGCTAAATACATAGTTTATATACGTGGATGTAACAACGTGTGATTTAAGAAGATATAGGGGAATTTTCTGTTCTTTGTTCGATCACATGTATGTAATATTGTGACAGAGATTTTGCAGGTGTTTATACTTTTTTTTCAGAATTAATTAATTAAATAAAGTTGTAGATTTATTTTATATTGCATATTTGATAAACAGTGCAATAAATGGAGGTTTTATTTGTTTTTTTGTTTTTTTTTTACCTAAACGTAAACATGTCAAACTTCCATGTTTAGGTGAGAAAATGAAAGCACCATGAACTGTAGGTTATATTCAGCAACTCTTAACATAAAAGGGACTTGGTGAGGTGTCAACTCCTTATTGCGTCATTATGAAGAGACAATAACAAATGTAGAGCTGAGGGTCGTTTGAGGTGTTTTCTTTAATTGGTCTCATCATAACCAAACAAATTTCCCAGTCACCCTTGCTCTTGCCTTTGTCCTTGATGTTAAATACCAGGCTCCACATCTGTGCCACATCTAAAGTTTTTCACTTTGACCATCGGACAGTATTCTATCGGTCATCAGCATATTGACAGTGTCATTTTTCTAACTCTGGCCCTAAAGCTGTCAGGCTGTCGTCTCCCTCAGAACACGTGTGAAGCAGCTTTAATGAAACTGCAGAGGCAAAGAACTCAGCAGGAGCAGAGCAGCTTCTTCTGAGGTTTCCAGTTTCACACACGATTGGAAAAACAGCAGTGGGTCTTTCATGTTACATGAAAGTGGGCTTGATTTAACCTGCCGTGTGTCGTAATTGGCTGAGAGTGGCTGAAAATGTCACACGTAATGTAAAGTAAATGAAGCTGTCACCGGCAGCAGCTGTCTGTGGTTCAGAGCCGGCAGCTGAGTTTGAGTCTGTAGTAACACAGCAACGCATGTTCACACACACACACACACACACACACACACACACTGTTAGAATGACCGCAGGTGAAACGCACAGCCTTGTGTGTATGTGTGTGTGTGTTTTTTTGAGAATCATATACATGCACCTCCAGTAGGGAGAGCTTTTAATAGACCTGTCCATCAACATGGTGTGTGGACTAAAAAAGCAAGAGAGGAAAAAAGGGAATGAGAGAGAGTGGAGCGATAACAAAGAGAAATGATTTTAAACCTTGTGCAAAAGCCAGAGAACAGGAAGTCGATTTACTATTAATTGTTTGATCTGAGTGGTTTTCA